TGCCGGCTAAAACCCCCTCTGAATCCGCCATGAGACAGAGGGGGAGGGAGGGAGAGGGAAGGAGGGAGGAGGGAGAGAGAGAGAGAGAGAGAGGGAGGTGGAGAGAGATACGTGGGTGGTGGGAGGGAGGGAGAGAGAGAGTGAAAGTGAGAAAGAGAGAGAGGAGGGAGGAGAGGGAGAGAGAGAGAGGGGGGGGAGAAGGAAGAGGAGAGATAGAGAGAGAGTGTGTGTGTATATGCGTGTGTGATTGTGTATCCATGTATAACTGTATATACTGGCATACGTTTTTTCTTTCTTCTTCCTTTATATTTTTTCTCCTTTATTAAAGACGTGGATTAATACTGCAAGAAGTAAAATGAATATGCGATTTATTCATAGATCACTAATATAATGGTTACACTACTAATTGTAGAACAGCATAAACATACTAGGCAGTGCTACATTATCACCTCAAAATTGAATAAGATGAAGTCAAAAAATTGATAAATTCGATATTTTACAGAAAAGGTCAGAAGAACATGACCTTTTTTGTAGAACTTTCACGAAACGATATTGCTTGGTTACTGAAGCTATAATAGACGTGTTCAGCCCTAATTTCATAGTGATCTGCTACAACCATGTACCTTCTACGTTGTATTTGTAACAATATAATATATTATAAATATGTGGAGTGTGTGTGTTGTGTGTGTGTGTGTGTGCGTGTGTGTGTGCTTTGTGTGTGTGTGTGTTGTGTTTATGTGTGTGTGTAATGTGTGTGTGTGTGTTGTGTGTGTGTTGTGTGTGTGTGTGTGTGTGTGTACTGTATATACTTATATATATAACTATATTGACATTGCTGAAATCATAAGGGATTAAAACTAAAAATCAATCCAAAATAAACTATTCTCAGAGTCTCTTGAAACAATGACTAGCTCCTTAAAAAATAAAAATGAAAATAAAGAAAAAAAACATAAGGAATCTTTTCACTTAAAAGTAAAGAGAGAGAGAGAGAGAAGAGAAGGAGAGAGAGAGAGAGAGAGAGAGAGAGAGAGAGAGAAGAGAGAGAGAGAGAGAAAGAGAGAGAGAGAGAGAGAGAGAGAGAGAGAAGACGCGCTGTGATGTTTCACGCCTATCCCTTCATTGCGCGCCGAGAACTCCGGGTGGGCGTGCGGCACCCATGCAGAGAGTACCGTGGGCGTAGGCGTGGGCGTTGCTCTTTACCCGAAGGCGAGTCCGCAGTTGCTGCATCGCCGCTCCATCATGAGGAAACAGCAGAGCATGCCGATGGGGAAGAAGCAGATAGCCAAGAAGATACCGCAGCAAGTGAATTCGTTCCTCAGGATGCCCGCCTGGTGAAAGATTTAATTTTTAGGCGTTTCCTTGAGTGTGTGTGCGTGTGTGTGTGTGTGGTGTGCGTGTGCGTGTGGTGTGCGTGTGCGTGTGCGTGTGTGTGTGTGTGGTGTGCGTGTGCGTGTGCGTGTGTGTGTGTGTGTGTGTGTGCGTGTGCGTGGTGTGTGTGTGTTGTGTGTGTGTGTGTGTGTGTGTTGTTGTGTGTGTGTGTGTGTGTGGTGTGCGTGTTTGTGCGTGCGTGCGTGTGTGTGTGTGTGTGTGTGTGTGTGTGTGTGTGTGTGTGTGTGTGTGCGTGTGTGTGTGTGTGTGTGTGTGTGTGTGTGTGTGTGTGCGTGTTGTGTGCGTGTGTGGTGTGTGTTGTGTGTGGTGTGTGTGTGTGTGTGTTGTGTGTGTGTGTGTGTGTGCGTGTGTGTGCGTGCGTGCGTGTGTGTGTGTGTGTGTGTGTGTGTGTGTGTGTGTGTTGTGTGTGTGTGTGTGTGTGTGTGTGTGTGTGTGTGTGTATGCGTGTGTGTGTGTGGTTTTAGGCCGACATTTATATTTAGGGTGATCTGGGGATTGTCTTTATTTCTTATTGATATCCCTTTCCCTTTTCATGATGTTCTAGAGTTTCCAAAAAAATGTCGTAAGGAAAGTGGTACATTTTGGGCGATATTTATAGGCTGACAACCTATCCAAATGCAAAACTAGAACAAAATAAACTTAGAACAGAAAAAAATCTAATTTAAATAAAAATCCATCTTTTCCAGCCAAACAAAGTACACAGAAAGACCATTACATACCCTACAAGCCGGGCAGGTGGCGCCGGCGATTACCACAACGGGGGCGGCGGTGACAACCGGCTGTGCTGTAATTACATGTTGCTGTTGCTGCTGCTGCGGCACGACAACGCTGGTTGAGGGAGTAGTGAATCCGTACTGTGGTTGTTGGTAAGGAGAGTAAGGGGGAGGAGGGCCAACTGTTGGGGTAAGGAGAGGAAAGCGTGGAAGAGAGTAATTTTTAGAAAGTGCTTTGATACGTCCAGTCTGAGGAAGGAACTAACTGGCAACTCACGCTCAGGAGAACTCCGATTCGACACTTTTTTATTTTAATCAGTTGGCACTTTGATCTTATGCTTACGTATGTTTTCTGTTTTTCTTAACTTCTATACAATATTTATGTTGTTTTTGTTGATTTTTTACGCCTTTTTATTACTTTCTTCTTAAATGACACAAGTATTGAAGTATTAGAGAATCCACAGTGAGTTGCCAGTCTTGGTTTTATTCAAATTGTTCAGAACATAGACGAGGAAGAAGTGCCTTTAAAAGGATAATTCAACAGCAAAATAAAAGAATATATACATATACGAGAACATATCGAGTGTTGTTCCCTTCTTGGATATGACACTGAACAGGGGCATCAGAAAAGGACGAGAAAATGTTAAGTTTAAGCGCACCATTGCTACGAGAAGAAGGAGATTGGGTTCCTTACCAGGTGCTTGAGTTTGCGCATATTCGTTCGGCTTGGACATCGTCTTCTCGGGGCTTGACGAGGCCTAAAAAATAGAATAGTCAGTCGTCTTGTGTTAGCTCTTATCCGAAAGTTTCTCCACACATATATGCACATGTATATACCTGTTCATGTGTGTGTGTATACATATACATATATATACAACTCTTGTATTATGGAGATATTTTCATTCATGTCTTCTGCATATCTGCCACAAACACACACGCACACACATAGATGAATAGATATAGATATATAGGTAGATAAATCGACAGACGTGTATGTGCATATATATCTGTGTGTGTGTGTGTGTGTGTGTGTGTGTGTGTGGTGTGGTCTGTGTGTGTGTGTTGTTGTGTATAGGTATGTATACATATTTGTGTGTGTGTTGCATATATATACATATACATGTGTGTGTAAATTATATATATATATATATATATATATATAATATATAATTATTATTATATATATATATATGTATATATATGTATATGTATACATATATATATATATAATATATATATATATATATTATATATATATATATATATGTGATGTGTGTTGTGTGTGTGTGTGTGTGTGTGTAGTCATATATATATATATATATATATATATATATATATATATATATATATATATATATATAATAGTGTGTGTGTGTGTGTGTGTGTGTGTGTGTGTGTGTGTGTGTGTGTGTGTGTTGTGTGTGTGTGTGTGTGTGTGTTTTGTGTGTGCGTAAAATAATATAATCCATTGCATTCATATAAAGATGGTTCTGGGGAGATAAGACGTTATCAATAGACTTTGCACTTGGCTTCAAGGCCTACAGCATCACAAGCAACGTCGATACTGTCATCTTCTCAGATTCACTCATTATTAGTTATGGATAGTGTCATAGTGTCAATAGCAATAGGACAAGAAGACTGAATAGGATATTCCATTTTACTGACATGTTACAGATGATTATATGCATGTACTGTAGTTGAACTAAAATTCAGCTGACTCCGAGGTCATATTTACCCCATGGCCTCCTAGGTTGGGAACCCCTGGTCGAGACTAGATGACCACTAGAGGTAAAATATACCATGCATATTGTGTATTGCAAATTTGTTCTGTGGTTCTTATTTCCGCTACGTTAGAGCTGGTATAAAGCAGGTACTTCTGTCATTGTTTACATATTGATGGTAGGAGTATGATCACATTAGTCTAAGCGTCGTTACTTTTATCATAGCTATCATCATTGTGATATCATTGTCTTTATTGTTCTGGGTATGATGGTGATCATTATTACTATTATCATTACGATTATTGTTATCATTATTATCATTGGTCCTGTTTATGTTCTTATTATAATCATTAGTATCATTATTGTTATTAACAGTGGTAGGAAAATTATTGGTATTATTGTTGTTGCAGTTGTTACTATTATGTTGTTACTATTAATTTTTTTATAAATATTATGATCATCAGTATTACTATTACTGCTATTTTTATAATCATTATTTATTATTTTATTATTATTATTATATAATCATTATTATTATTATACTATTGTTATTATTATTATTATCATCATTATTTTATTATATTATTATTATTATTATTGTTATGATTATTATTATTGTTATTATCATTTTCCTTCTCACTATTTTTTATTATTGTTATTCTTATCATCATCATCATCATCATTACTACTGCAAGTGCTAAAATTAATAATAATGTCACTTTCAATACTGTTTTACCCATTATCATGATCCAGATCCTGCACAGGGTAACTCAAAAAGTTATGAACAGATTTCTTTTTATAAAATTCTTACTAGAGGTCTGTCTTTGCCAGGCTTAGATGCCATTCAATTTTGGGGATTTTGGGTGATTTCCCTATTTCGTATAACGAGATAGGGAAACGCGGACATCCTCAGGAAAAGGGGATTTTAATGTAATTCTTCAAGTGTGAAATCTTATTGCTCCGTCATCCTATTGCCTTGGCGGAGGTATGCGCTCTCTGACTGCTACTGGTTACCATTGTTGTTGATATTATTATCAATGTTATTACCATATTACTATCATTATTAATTAATGTATTTGTTTATTTATTTATTTATTTATTATTATTGTCGTCATTATCATAAATATCATTATCTTTATTATTAGCATTATCATTTTTAATATTAGTATCACCATTATTATCACCATTATTGTTATTATCATCATTTATAACTGTTATTACCACTACTACTACTATTATCATTAATCCTATTATTATTATCATCATCATCATTATGATAACCTTTATTCTTGTTATTATCATTGTTAATTTCATTTTTATCCTTATTATAGTTATTGTTTGGTTATAATCATTACTATTATTATCATCCTTACTATCATTATCATCATCATTATAATCATCATTATCATTATTATCATTTATTA